GGCAGAAGGAAAGAAAGGAAGAAAGAAAGGGAGAAAGAAAGAAAGAAAGAAAGAGTGTAACGTTTAAAGAGTCGCGCCAAAAGAGTAGTGTCGTGTTCGGCCGAGCAGGGCGCCACCATTGCATTTCCTCCGCGTCTAGAAGCTTCGGTTATCCGCGACAGGCATCGTGTCCGTACTACGAGAGATAGAAAATGGAAAAAATCCAGATATGATGCTTATAATACTCATTTATTATAGTGTTAATAGTTAAGAAATATATTTTTATATTATTATAATATTACGACATAATGTATTATATATATATAGATATATATATAATACATATATATATATGGTACTAATCGATCGTCGCGGATCCGTGAAACCCGCGACGACGAGTCTGTTCCTCGGCTGATACAGATAATACGCGAGAATCTTCTACTTTTATTTTCTAGTTTCTTCGAGGCTCGATCGTAAACGACTCAACGTTCCTGTGCAATCGCTTTATTATTTCCCATCGTCGCGCGTTACGTTCTTTATTTTTCACTGTGTAACTCGTTTTTTATTCTTACGATTTCTCTTCCTTTTTTTTTTTTTTTAAATCGTTCGAGAGATACGTATATATATATATGTATATATGTATCAATTTTTACCGGCATTCCTGAAAGCATATCTCCTTTCTATGATTTTGTACGAGGATTTCTATTCGTCCGTTAAGTTTCGTCCATTATCGATTTTCGATTTGTAGTTATTCGCACTCTGAAAAGCAAAGGAAAAAAAAAAAAAAAAAGAATGGCTCGATTCTGTACTTTTGAATACTTTCACGACCAACGGGTGTAGGACATCAGGAAGGGAAAGCAGCAAATTTACGAAGACAATATTGCATACGTATAAGTGACTAAATGAAGATTAAAAAAAAAAATTATATATATATGAATATAAATATATAAATATAAAAATATAAATATAGATATATAAAGATAGAGATATTCGCTCTGATTCGGGAGTATTTGCAACCTGCTCGCCTCGATGTATGTATGTACGTACTATTCAAAGTAACACACACACAGAATTAACAGCGTAATTTTTGCCAGCTTTCGCGCATCGGCATCGGTTATGTCTCCGTTAAACTGCCTAAACTATTACGTGAAAATTACTTAAACGGGAAAAGGAGAAAAAAAAATAATGAAGTGATTAAACTTACAGAAAAGAAAAAAAAAAAAGAAAACGAATACTCGTACGAATATGATGAAACAAAACGAAATGTAAGAAAACGAGGAGAGAAATAGAGAAAAAAAAATTGTTAATGATTGTTGATGCAACGATTTAAGAGAAGAAAGAAAAAAAAAATGAGCACCATACGATGCCTTCCGTGAACGACCGAGCTTGCCTAGTTACCGAAATAATATAGAAATTCAATGATTCGATCTCGATATGAATTCTCTCGTCGAAAGTAATCGTTATCCCCGCGCTGCTTCTCCCGATCGAGCGATTGTTTCCTCCGACCGCGGACAATAAAACGTATAGAGCGAGTAAAAATAGCGCGCCATAAACTATGTACAGTAGAAAAGAGTCGTCGTAAAAATTGCAATGGACATTAGAAACGGGACACTCGAGTGCTCGATGAAAAGCACTCTGTACGAGTTCCCCACGAGGCTGTATTGTGATTTTTCTCTGGAAAGGAGGGGGAAGCACACGGGGATGACAAAACATGTTCGCTTTAAACTATTACTCGACGAACACTGGTGGTTATGCCATCGAGCTTTCCATGATTACGTTACATAAGCACCAGAATCGTGCGTGTGTGCGTGTATTGCGTGTATGTACACCAGGAAAATACTCGGAGAAGAAAATACGGCAGGACAATAATAATAATAATAATAATAATAATAATAATAATAATACCGTTTCTTTTTAGAGATTAGAGAGCGTAAACATTAATTACAATAGTATATATAAATATATATATACATATATATATATATATATATAAAAATTGTAAGTGTGGAAAAAAAGGATAAATTTGCTAAAATGCGGAGAGAGCAGCCTGCGCGCGTACCTTGCGTGCGTGCGGGTACGTGCGTACACAGCAACATGTATGTACATAGGTAATACATTCGTAAGGTTACATTTAGTCGCCAGGAAATAGCGATGCGGATGTTACTGTAACAGTGAAGTGTAATATGCGGTAGATACTTTGAGAGAACGGTGGGGAAAATTAAAAAAGAAAAAAAAAAGAAGAAGAAATAAAAACCGGAAGGTTCCAGCTGCGTAGTGGATGGCAGTGCCTTCTCCGGATGAAATGCTCTCGCGGATCTGTTGATGCGAGCGGTTGCAAAACGGCTCGACAAGCAGCTGCGCTGTACGATACTTTAATTCGATGCTTGAATCTGCAGGTTTCCAATTGGAAATTTCATCGAGACAGAAATTGTAACGATTCCCAGTTTCGTTTTCGATCATCTAACCAAAGTAGGAAAGCGCGGAATTTAATTGGAAGTGAATTTCCGAGTAACGATCACTTTTTTGGAGAAGGGGCATATATATTCTTGTAACTAAAGGTACGTTGTTCTAACCGAGAACGATCTCCTTTTCGAGGAAGTTCGATCGTTGATAATGGGCATTCGAGGTATAGAGAAAACAAAATAGGGAAAATAGAAGACGAAGAATGGGAAGGGTTTAAAAAAAAAAAAAGAAAAAAAACGAAAATAAAAGAGGGAGGATGCTGAGAGGTCGAACACTGCGTTGCACTACGCGGCGAACTTTCGATGCACGAATCGATGAATTTCGGTTGAAACGGGAAACGGGAGCCAAACCTGTTACACACACTGCGGAAAGAAGCAGCAGAGAAAAAGAAAATGAAATTAAAAAAAAGAAGAAAAAAAAAAAAAGATAATGTATTGTGACGAAGTTCCATCCATAATAAAATAAATGAAAATATTATACAGTTAGGCCGACTTTTCCGCCAGTTCGTGCCTTTTTTCTGCAGGGAGAGAGAGTGCAGTTTTGGGATCGATCTGAATGATGTATGCTATTGATGTACTGCCTACTAAATAGAAGGAACGATGGGCAAGCCGTGAGAAGGAAAGAAAGAGAGAGAGAGAGAGAAAGAGAGAGAGAGTGTAATAATTAAGAGTAGCCGGCGATCTCAGAGGTCGTGGCGAAATTATGGGCGGGCAGAAAGGGACAGGATACGAGGATATTAATCGCGCGGATAGATCGAGCGAAGTTCTGAGTTTGACACGATCACGAATTGTGTGTCCTGTAATGGATTATTCTTGAAGAACATTACGAGCACGCGAGATTATATGTCAGATGGTCGGACGTCGATGGGAAAGAACGGCAAGTAACAAACGCGAAGAAACGAAATGAAGAAAAGAGGTGCGAGATTAATTGTGTAAACAGTTGAAGCCGAATGATACGAATGGAGGGAGAGAATGAGAAGAAAGAATGTGTGCGCGTGTGAAAGGACGAACGGGAGGGAGAGAAAGTAAGTGAGAGAGAGAGAGAGAGAGAGAGAATTCTAGCAATTGTTGAACGTTCATTAAATTGTCCTCGTTTCACGATGTAATAAAGGCTATTTTACTTTGACGTCGGTGTTACATTCCCTAATTTCTATCCTTCGTATCCTCGGTACTTCCAGCGGAAAATTTGTAAAATCAAGATATCAATGTAGGAACGTATTCGCCATGATTTATTTCATTTCTGAAAAATTTCTAAATGTCATTTTTCAGTTAATCCAATTTTATAAAGTCTAATCTAAACAATTGACGATTTCATCGTACGATTATTCGAACGAGTACCTTGATCTATTGAGTGGAATTTATAAATTTTATAAATTTTACACATGTTAAGTTAAATATAGTATAGAAGAGAACCTAAGGGCCTAATTTTAAAGATACAGTTATAAAAGTTTAGAAATTTATTCCTGAAATTAGTTTTTTTTGCGATTGAAAATTCGATCGATCTATGGGCATTAAAATGCTAGCGGCGCGTAGCGGTGAAACGGTGGAACTAAAATCTATCGTTATCCTTGTCACACACTGTTGTCCTCCTTGTCTTTCGCGTAATGTTATCTATCCTTGTTTCACACTGTTGCTCTCCTTGACTTTCACGCAATGTATATCTGTCTTTGTCACACGGTATTGCGCTCCTTGTCTGCGAACGAAGTGCTGCCATCTATCGGATTTTACCATTTTATGCTTTTAGTTCCAACCGCAACTGAGAGGTCCTCAGATGGCAGCACCATTCGTAGACAAGAAGCGCACTAGTGTGCGAAAAGGACAACAACAGATTTTAGTTCCTCCACCGTTTCACCACTACGCGCCGCTAGCATTTTAATGCCTGAAGGGTTTGAAATGGCGATGATAATGCGAGGATAATGTAGGAAGTGATGATGGTGAGGAAAGGTTGTGCGTTTCGTCTCAGAGTCGCTGCCTAGACTCATCAGTGGGGCTGATGGCAGCGACTCCTTACCCCAGACGCTTGTTGTTGTAACTATTCGCTAGGATGGTCCACCCATCCTAGCGGTTCCGCACTCTGTTTGCTTAACATCGAATATCGGTTGACTTCGACGCTAGGCGCACAGCCACTTGCGGCTTGTGCAAGTTGGTGTTCGAAACTCGTACTCGAGGAACTATAGGTCGCTACATGCCCATAAATCGATCGAATTTTCATTTGCAAAAAAAACTAATTTCAGAGATTAATTTGTAAGATTTTGTAATTGTATTTTCAAAATTAGCTGATCAACTTTCATCTCATATGCCATTTAACGCAGAAACTACTTGTACAAAGATTTTAAAATTCTGCTCAACAGATCGAAAGACTTTACACCGAAAATAAAAAAACTATAATAAATTTCACGCCTCCAGGCAATTAATTTCCATTCCACGTGAATATATTTCAAAGTTGATACTTTCGTCTATGTTCACATTCAATTTTGACGCAAGTTCAACCGTTTTTTTTTTTACAAAAAATTAATATTATTCCACTACGGGATCATTTCGCGCGAAAGAACACGAATCTTTAAGAACACGATCGTAATTGATTTTTATTGTTAAAATTTATACATTATTCGGCACAACTATATTCATAATTAAATAACAGGTTTAAAATTTCATTTTCAGCTTATCGTGTACTGTACATGGACGAGAGAGATGATCTCAGTTTAAAGGGAGTTTCAGGCACTGTATGTCTACAGCATCTCCTTTATATCTGTTCAATTGACTCAATAAATGTAACTTCGGTTGTTTACAATGAGTTGTATGCAACTCATACGAGGTGCATACATTCAACAGTACTGATTCCTGTAAACTCTTCACAGGATTTCTTGTTATCATACTTTCATATAAATGCACCGCCGTTTTTAACTGGCCTGTGTACAAAAGACAAACAGCCATGTTGTTAATTAACGCTATGTTCGATGGGTCCAATGCCTCTGCCGCTTGGAAACACTTGTACGCTTCTTGGAAAGAGTTGTGAGCCACTGCCATTAATCCTCTGTCTATTAACTCTCGAACAGTAGGGCCACTGTTTTTTTTGTGAACATCGATCAGAAATTTTTCTGCTGCCACAACATCTCCCAAAAACAAATGTAGTCTACCTATGCTGGCTCTCAATGCATCCATTTGCTCTGGTGTCCAATTTGCAGACTCACAAAGCCTCTCTAAGATATCAATACCTAGCACATAATTCTTCATGCTGACAGCGCAATTAACAATAGATATAAGGATCCGGGATCTTCTGCCTTTCCATAACCTTATAGCATCCTCTTGTTCAGCTGGGTTTACCTTAACGCGAGATCCATCTCCATTGAACCCAGCGCTAAAGTTGGCTATAATTTGGTTTGTAGATGCCAGAACTTTGTAAAGATTATCCAATGCTTGTTTAGGCTTGCCGCAGTACATTGGAATCTCAGCTAGAAGAAGTCTAAAAGAAAACGAAGCCATCGAGCCCGGTCTGGTGCCATACAACTCTGGGTAAAACGTAAAATACATGTCTGGTTTGTCTAAATTATCAAACGGTTTCGACTCGTTCTCTAAAATGTCGATCTGCCTGAGCTTGGTTAGAAGAGCCAGCCTGGTATACCACAGTTGCAGAGAATGCGGCGAGTGTTTGCTAGACTGATTTATTTTGCCGTATCCTTGACCATACACGGCCAACAACCTGCCAGACAGATTTATTGCCGCTTTGTAACAACCAGCTTGTATCAACATTCTCAATCCACGTTCATCCTGAGTCACATCGGAAGCAGTGAGCACATGTCTTTGCGCACTCTCATCTTCGCCTAGAAACCTCGCCACAGTACTTTTTATCAAATTGTGCATGTCCCCTTGAACTGCAAGCCCAGGCATTGTCAGGTTCTCCCTGTCGAGAAACGTGGTTCCAGCGGTGGACGTGGCCACACTTCGTAAGATTTTTCTCGTCTGTTCAGAAGGTATCCATACATCCCTGTGCACGTCATTCGTGCCGCTGTGATCGAGCCGTTCGTTACCGAGCAACGAACCGCCCTTTAAGAATTCGCTTGACTGATCTGCGAGCAACTCGAAATCTGAGACTCGGCTGCCAGAGCCTCTCTGAACGTCGAAGAAATCTTCCTTCCTAGGTGATACAATCTCATCGAAAATCGTGCGTGATGCATTTTCAAAATAGCGGCTTATATCGACTTCCATTTCCTTCGTAACCTCTTGGATGGTTTCGCCTTTCTGCTGTGAACTCCTATTTTCCTCGGCCATTCCACTCCTGTCTATTATTCTTCTCGACTCGAATATTTATATGTACATTTATTTATACAATTTACAAAATCTTACAAACATTAAATCGAAGAAAAATCGTAGACGTCAACTGTCAAAATCAGATGGGGACATTCTGCCACGAAGTACGTGTATAACAGAGCGTCATATTACATATAAATTTATACCTCAGTCTATCAACCGTTATTACTTTTGTATAATTTTTATACTACGATATTGATAAACATTGCGAGATTCAACTGACAAATGTAACATTGTTCACGACAATTAGGATATCATAATTAAATTTTCTAATAATAAAATTTAATAAGAATAAATGTAAGTAGTACTAGTATTCGATTAGAGAATAACAAAATACGTATATTAAAACGAAATAACATTGAATTAAAGCTAATTTTCTTTCGATTAATATCTTTATATCAAAGATGGCATTATAAAATAACGATAATAACAATACTACATGTGCAATTGCAACATATAAATACAAGTAGAGATCATTAAGAAATTAAAATAACAAGTTAAATATAATATTATGAACAATAGCAAAAAAAATATTCACCTTTCGAGTGGCTATATTATGCCTTTTGTTGGATGTAAGTTTATTAAAATACGATAATTACTTACCATGAAATATTAAATTATTTTCATTTTATGTAGTTGGAACATACAAAATTCGAGGAACAGATGTAATACATAAAGTGGTAGATGAAAGTTTAAAAGTTGGTTTTCGCTCCATTGGTATGTGTAAATTGAAATTCATGATATTATTTATTTATCCTATCGTAAATATATTTTGAAAAATCCATCATTTAAAAATTTTACAGATACAGCTGTGGCATATCGAAATGAAAAAGATATAGGCTGTGCTCTAAAAAGTTTACTACCAAAATATAATCTTCAGAGGAGTGATATATTCATCACAACTAAGCTTTGTATGTATCAGTAATGATTTTAAATATTACATTTAAGGAACATAAAATATATTATAATCATATATTTATAACAGCACCAAGTGATCATGGAGATCCAAAAGCAATAGAAAAGTCTGTGCAAAAATCACTTAAAGCGCTTAACACTACATACATTGATTTATACTTGATTCATTGGCCAGGTGTATCTCGTACTTCAGAAAGTTCAACGAAGAATTCACGTTTAAGGGCAAAGACTTGGGATAAGTTGATAGAATTGAAAAAACAAGGGCTTATAAGATCTATAGGTGTTTCTAATTATACAATCAAACATTTAGAAGAATTATTACAAAATTGTAAAGATACACCACCAGCTGTTAATCAAGTAATTATATCAAATAAGTAATAAATCTGACTTTAATTTATATTAATTAAGAAATTAAAATATGTTTCTGTACTATAGGTTGAGTTGCATCCACATTATCGTCAAGAAGAATTAATTAAGTATTGCAAAGAGAAAGGAATTCATGTACAAGCATATTCTTCTTTAGGAACTAGTAGCAGTACTAATCTTTTAAAAGATCCGATTGTTGTAAAAGTAGCTTCTCAACTTAATGTATCACCAGCACGATTACTATTAAATTGGGCTTTGCAACAGGGAATTGGTAAATAATTTATCTTTTCAAAATGATTATTTCTACTATGTATCATTTAATAATATTATTACAGGCATTATTCCCAAAGCGATAAAGAAAAAACATATAAGAGATAATATAAAACTAAATTTTGTAATTGATGAAGAGAGTATGAAAGCTTTGTCTTGCCTTCCTCAACATAAATACGCTTGGGACCCTTCCAATGTATATTAATTAAGTTTAAATATAAAATAAATATAAATATAAATATAAAATAAAATAAAAATAAATATAAATATAAAATAAAATAAAAAATAAAAAAAATAAAAAACAAAAAAAATATGGAAGATTTTGCAGATCAAATTGCACAACTTTGTTTAGAAAAATATAATAAGCTTAGTAAAAATGGTAAACCATTAGAGAAAGAATGGACTGTGTTATCAGGTATAATATTAAAAAAAAAGGACAGTTCACTTAATTTAGTAGCCCTTGCTACAGGAACAAAGTGCTTAGGAAAATCAGATTTGTTAAATACAAAAATATACGAACAAGGTTGTAGATTAAACGACTCTCATGCAGAAGTTCTTGTCAGACGTGCGTTTCTAAGATACTTATACGAGCAAATCGATTTCTTACTCAGTGATTTTAAAAGTGATATTTTTACAATAGACGACAAGAAAAAAATTAAACTACACGATGGAATATCGTTCCATTTATTTACGAGTCAAACTCCCTGTGGAGATTGTTCTATATTTTTGAAAAAAGAATTCTATGAAGATGATATACCTCCAACGAAAATTAGGAAATGTGATTATAATAACGGAATGGAGATAGTAGAATCAAATAATAATAGAAAAGAAAAACGCTTAATTAAAGATATATATAGAACCGGTGCAAAATGTGTTAAATCTGAGAAATATCAAGATCCTCATTTGCCCGGAATAAACTACCACGTAGTTGGACCACTACGTACTAAGCCAGGAAGAGGAAATCCTACTCTTAGTTTATCTTGTTCAGATAAAATAGCAAAGTAATACTACAATTTATTTTCATAGTATTTTTATAGAATATCACAATTAAGTTTTATACACTGATTTTAGATGGAATTTACTTGGAGTACAAGGATCGCTTTTATCGATATTAATACCGCCAATAAAAATAGAAACTATTATAGTTGGAGGAAATTGTCCTTTTTCACTAGAGGCAATGGAACGTGGATTGTACAAACGATTCAATGAAAAAACGTGTGAACTAAAAATTATACAAAGTAAATTTTCTTTTAATCAACAAAAAAATTCCGAGAGAAAACACCCATGTCCATCAAGTATAATATGGTGTGCTGTAACAAACTGGTAATTTTTAATACTTACATTTTGTTTATGTTTAATAATTTTGAACAAAATAATTTTAATAATTGATCGTTTGCAGTGATACTGAGGTAGCAGTTGAGGGTAGAAAACAAGGAGCTACAAAGAAAAAAAAAGGTAGTAATTTGCTTATAACGAGACGTGCTCTCTTTGAAACGTTTTTACAAACATGTGATAAATATCAACATTCTGATTGCAACATAAGACATCCTAAAAGGATTACCTATTTGGATTGCAAAATGTGGTCGAAAAATTATCAAAGCTTGTGGAATACTTTAAAATCAGATTCTTTTCATACTTGGCCTTCTAAGCCAATTCATTTACAAACATTTGTACTGTAGAATATTTGATATTTTTTAATATACAAATATATATTTTTTAAATCAAAATAAATATATAAAAAAATAAATACAATAATATTTTATAATGTTCGTTTATTTATGTTAGTATATCCTACACCTACACAAGTTAAGATGACTTGTTCTAAAATTTCATCCTCTTCTTTATATGGTTCAAGTTTAAATACAATTCCAAAAAAGTCTTTTAAGTCGCGTAAAAATTGTATCCTGTAAAAATATTATAGATCAGTTTTATCGTTTTGAAATACGTATCTGTATAAAACGACTACTTACATTGCTGGTGTTAAAGGACCTGTTACAACTTTAGAAACATCTTTTTTACCTAATGCCATAAACATTGCCGTCATAGCTTGAAAAGGTGAATCTATACAACCATTTCTAAAATCATACATATTTATGTAATACTTTCATTATCTGATGCATATTTATTTTACCTATAAATTTCTCCAATTAATTTCATAGCTGCTTCTCTACCAATATCTTCTGGTACACAAGGTAAAGAATTTGTTGTCATTAAAGGTGAAAATGCTTCTCCACCGAAAACAACATCAGCAGTTGTTTCGGCTGATAAAGTTACTCCAAAACCTGTCATATTTTTGAGTATTTACATTTAATGTACTAAAGAAACATAAACTAGCTAACATTAAATATGTACCTGGTGATTTTCCACTAGATGCACCTTTACAATGGTCTGTATAAATATAAACATCTGGTAAGTATTTTAGTAATACACTTTTAGTAGACTCCACAATTCGATTGGAAATAGCAGGAGAGACACGTAAACTACATGCAGTACCTCTTATTCTTTTAACCATTCCACTATTTTGAAGCTACAAATACATTTTATTTTTAAGATGTAAATACCTTAATAAAAAAGATATATATATACTTTCTACTAACTTGAATACTTCTAAGGTTACGACTAGGGGGACATTTGAATTTAATTTCTCCACCACCTAAAGGTGCAGCTCCTCTTTTGCTAATGGTAAAAATAACTTCATTATCGCCTGACAGAAATTTTTTCAATATAGGCACAGCACATGTCTTCATTCTATCTACAGATGGATCTGAAATACAATTACATATATGTATATAATTTCTTAGTTTCTTGCAATTACAATAACAATTAATTGCTAACATATTATCTTTGAAGTTTAGAGCTTTACTTACCTATTGTATTATTAGTGACTCCTTTAAGTTTTATATCAACAGCCTTTTTACAAAATGGAGCTAATATCATAATTCCTTCTAGATAATAGCCAATACCTCGTTGTACACTACAATCGTGCTCTAATTCGCCACCATATAACAATCCAGGATTATAATATAAATTTGTTCCTGTTTCATTTAATTCTATTCGCGATCCATTTGTTATTTTATCCAATAAACGAATAAAACTAATTTCGTATTCTAAACACAATAAGCATACAAATTGTAACATATTTTTATGTTTTAATAGTTTTGAAAAACATAAGATATATCTAAAAACTAACCTTTAAGTCCTGGATCATCATCTTTAATTCTGATATTTATAATTCGTACAGGTTTGCCTGACAACGTTGATAATAATAAGCGATATCTCATATAATTACAACCTTCGTACATTAGAATGTTATTTTTCATTTTTCTGGCATGTTTTGTTAAACTTCGCGGCAATAAACAAATTAACACGATGGCACATGGAACTCTGACGTCATACTGTTTTATCAAGCATAGTTCTACTTTACATGTATGAATTGAACAAATCGCAATTTAACAATATTGTTGGATACTTTTAAAAACGAATTCAAAATTTCACGAATAATCAAACAAAGTGATGTTTTTCATTCATATCAAAATCTAAAATATTTTCAAACATTAAAATGACACAACCAAAGAAAACAATATTTGTTACCGTTGGCACTACCAAATTTGATGAGTTAATCGCGACAATGCTTAGTCGCGAAATTTTAGAGGTAAAAGACCATGAAAATATAAGTTTTTAATAGAAATGTTATAAAAATATTTAATGTGTGGCAAAAATTTGAAGTAATTTTTTTATATGTATTTTAGGCATTATCGTCAAAGGGATATTATGAAATCATTTTACAAATTGGCAAAACATCGTTTGTACCAGATTGCAGCTCACGTTATGGTTTTGTTAATATAGAATATTTCAATATGACTGCAAATATACTTTCTTATGTACAAAATGCTGATCTTATTATAAGTCACGCAGGAGCAGGAAGTATTCTAGATGCTTTAGAATGTAAGAAAAATTTAATTGTAGTTGCAAATCAAAGTTTGATGGATAATCATCAATTAGAATTAGCTGAACAACTTTATAAGGATGGATATTTATACTATTGCACTTGCGAAACTTTATTAAATACTATCCAAACTATGAATTTTAGTAAATTAAGACCTTTTGTTAATGAAAGGAGTAAACAAATTGCTAAGCTTATAGATCAAATAATGGGATTTTCATCATAAAGAGAAGTTTGAAAGATATTCAAGAAATAACTTTTTTTACTTTTTATTTACAACAAACAATGAATTTAAAAGATTAATATTGATATTTTGTTTAATATATATTTAGATTTTTAATGTTTTATAATATGGATATACAACAGCTTTAATTATTTATTACAACAACAATTACAAGATATAGCTTTAATATAATTTACAACAATATAATAAGAATTAACTGTTCCTTAAAATTATGATGTAGTAGCATAGAAAAATTTATTAATTAATTTCTTATTAAGAAAAATGGTAACGAAGAATAATGGCAGTTATTGTTAGATACATTTTATAGCATCTTTGGACAATTACTAATTGTTGAAATAAAAGCTATATCAGTAAAAATATTTTCTAAATACTGTACAATATTAAAATAAATTTAGTTTTTCAACAGAGTATTCATATTTCTTTGTAAGTTTTCTCTTTAGGAATAAAGTAATAGAGCAATCTCGCAATATCGATGAACATTATTTTAAGTCATTGATTTAATAAATTTTCAAATTGCACATTTTCAATACGTTATATCATTTTTTTTTTTTTCTTAGATGACCCTAGCATTATTTATACTTTCAATTTATTGTATGAAGATACATCCATATGAGGCAAACTACATATGTATATTTATAGTGACGTGTGCTTTAATTACAGACCAAGCCAAGACGTGTCATTTCTTTTAACAGTTCATTTCCCATTTGCGCCGGACTCCTTGAAACTATTACACCAGCCTAAATAAAATGAAATGATATTTATCATACGATATTATTTATTAAAATGATAGTTATATTTCGGGTTATACTTCATATATCGAGTAAATTTATCGATACCTTTTCGAGCGCATTAATTTTATCTTGCGCACCTCCTTTGCCCCCTGATATGATAGCCCCAGCATGACCCATTCTTCGGCCGGGTGGAGCAGTAATACCAGCAATAAACGATACTACTGGTTTAGCTTTACTTCCCTGTGATTACGACAGACACATATTATATTTGTATGTGAAATTACTTAAAAATAAATTACATTCGTAAGGATGTAGGACGATTTCTGGAACATGAAAGAATTTCTGGAAGAAATAATTGAGTTAGGATAGGATGGGGATTTGAATACCAATAACTTAGAAGAGCAACCAACAGTATTATGCTGAATGAGATATTCCGCTGCTGATTCTTCTGCACTACCACCAATTTCACCAATCATTATAATACCATCACAATCTGGATCCCTAAGGAAGACATCCAAACAGTCAATAAAATCTGTTCCATTAAATGGATCACCACCAATACCAACACAGAGTGTTTGCCCAAGACCAGCCTTAAAAAAAGATTTTCTTACATTCTTTTTATTATAAAATTAAAAAAAAAAAACATTTATTATGGTGAATGAAATATCTATTTATCATTTACTTACAAGGGTTGTTTGATTTACAGCCTCATATGTTAATGTTCCTGATCTTGACACAATACCAATTTTTCCTTTTTGATGTATATGTCCCGGCATAATACCTATTTTGCACTACAAATAGATATCTGTTATAAAATACATTGGCACAAAATTTAATACACTGATAAAATATTAAATATTTGCACCTGCTCTGGAGCTATTATTCCTGGACAATTTGGACCAATTAAACGAGATTTGTTTTGCTCCAAAAGTCGTCTTTTAACTTTCACCATATCATGTTGTGGAATACCTTCTGTAATACATACAATTAGTGGTATTTCAGCATCTATTGCCTCCAAAATAGCTGCAGCTGCAGCAGGAGGAGGAACATAAATAACAGTTGCAGAAGCACCCGTAGCTTGTTTTGCCTAAAATTCAGTTAACATATGTATAAATATATAAAATATAAAAGAAAATTTGCTTATTTACCTCTTTCACAGTTTTGAAGACTGGTTTCCCAAGATGTTCTGAACCGGCTTTTTTAGGATTGACACCACCTACTATTTTAGTACCATATTCAATGGCTTGTTGACAATGAAATGTCCCTTGTTTACCAGTGAAACCCTGACATATAACTTTGGTATTGGAATCAATTTTTAAATTTTTCCTAGTATCTACATAATTAAACCTTATTTGCGTTCGTAATAAATTTCCACAATTTGCTGCAACATGAAAGGAAGAATATTTTGTTTCATTCAAAAACAATTTTTTTAGATACAAGTACCAATAACTTTTTTTGTTTCTTAATGTATATGTTGCAATAAATGTCATAACATTAAATTTATATTACTTTATAAAGAAATTTTAAGGCATAAAGAGATTTTTAAGCATTGTTTCAGCTATTGTTTGCAAGCAGATGTTATTTATAGGGACAGTATCAAATTTCTTAACTTTTAGGTCAAGGTTCATTGAGTATATATCATCCAATGAGTTCAAATGATTAGTATGACATTTATTCTGACAGAACATATTAATTAAGATGTTAAAACTATACGAAAGGCTGTGCAAATTATCATATTCAACAGTTATATGAAATAAAACTAATATATATGATATGGATAAAATATAATTAAAAAAAAAAAGAAATTATGAGGCTTCTGTGACAGAACACATTTATGTATAATAGACAAAAGATTTAATAAAGAATTATATAATGTTTTACATTAACAATTATATAGTTAAAATTGAAACAAGTCAATTTAACTAAATGATCTAATATATATTGTAAGAAAAAATTGAGTTATGTATAATTCCTTATATAATGATAACATAAACGAAACTTGTCAAAAGTATTTTTAGTTTGGAAAATAATAGACGGTCGAACACGACCGTGAAATCTTGATACGACTACACAAATAGTATATTTCAAGATATGCAAAGATTCCTTTTTAACAGTGAAAAATACCAGATGATTATTCATGTCTTACCTGTAAACTTTGAAAATGTCCTGATAGCTACAGCCATTTTTTAATTGATGTTTTTTTAAGATAGTCGATGAATGAAATCGAATTATTAGAGAATCACCATTAGAGGACTTCGATAGACTAGCGAGGTCAAGTTCGAAAGAAAATACACGGGCGAAGTGTACTTATCGCATGTATCTAAATACTTCAGATTCACTATGAATATGTCAAATGACAGGAACATTGAATATCGAACTGATTGGCCTATTCTTTCGCAAGATATTTCCTTCAAGCTAATTTTCAATGTAAAAATTTGATCGCGAGCAAATTTTGCATGAGGTTTTCAATACATCAGATGCAAAAATAATTGTCAATTTTCCTTATTTTGAAGTTTTCTGAAATATTTGTGAAAAATTTCTCTAGTTTCGCAACTCTTTTATTGCTAAAAATATAGAGAAATTAGTTTTATCTCTATTCGTGCCTTTGAAATTTACCCTAGGGTCAGATTCATATATTTTAAATAAAAGTATGCAACATTGAAGTTAAAATAACGCAGTAGGAAATTTGAACAAATTTATTGCAAAAAAGATTAGTACTATATGTATGAATGTTAAATTTATGCTACGGTATTCGATAGCAAACATAATGATAATTTCATAGAAAGGAAAGGTAGCATGCTGCATAATCAACGGAGATCACCGAAAAATTGAGCGTAGTTAATGAAAGTTACGATTGATGGTATCGTAGTTGCCAAATGTAGATTACTGAAAGAAAGTCTACATAAATCCGTCTGCGATTTTATTGTTATTACCGATGTAAGAATTTAATTATACACAAATTTTCATATGAATCGAACAGTTTATTAAAATTCGTAGTGATCCGATTACGGAGCTAATATTGATGCGCATAGATAGAACGGCATAAATGTCAGTGATGTATAGAAAATAAATATCTTGATAAAAATGACGTGGTGAACAGAGCCTTATCGTTTTACAAAACCATCGAAGGAATTGCAAGGTACATACTCTATCAATAGTTTCCAGTGTTTCGTTCGGATATCGTTTCAACCATCTGCAAAAAGGGATAAAAAATTTTATTTCAAATGCCGAATGTTTCGAATATACTTTCGAACAAGTAATTTAAAAGAATTATTTTTTGAATTTGGAAAGTTATTTCAATTACATTGCTCGTATATCATAACACAAAATATTCCTACTATTTATATATTATTATGTATTAAATGTTATTGAATCATTTCCGTTGTGATGAAAAGTTAATATTCGTTATATATTTAGAATGCACCTTCTTGTGAGAGTAAATGAAAGCTCTGTCATTGAGAAATAAAACAATATGTACATATTTTTTTTTACTAGAATACATCTCAGTTATGTAAAATTGTATTTGACTTTATTATTATTTACATTCTTAATTAAAATTGTATTTATTGCCTTCTAATTATGATCATATAACAGAAAGAAATATGATTCAAAATATTTACGTTACAAATGTATGACAGTGATGCATACATTTATAAATTTTGCAGTGCTGTTTTGTATTAATTTAAATAAACAAATTCTAACAGGATGGAAGAGAGTACAAGTTCTGAAAATGTTTGGTGTAAAACTAAAGCAGACGAACAAAATAATTTGTATCATCCGGAATCTATAACTTCCTCTATGGAAGCAAATTCTACTTCTTTAGCAGATATATTTGATACAGCATTTACATCTACAGTTGATCCCTCTCCACAACCAAGATTTAATTCAGGTAAAGATAAAACAATGATGAAAGATATACATTAATTTTTCTTTTGTGCTTTTGGTATCAAATGCAATAATTTCTTTTTCGAATAAAATAATTTAATTAATTTTGAATAATACTAAATATATATAGAATAATTTACACGAAAAATTTTAATATTTAATTTCAGCCAACGAAATGGAATATGACCACTTATTTGCAGAAAGTGATGTAGAAGATTTGGATGTGATACCTATTAATCCTTATGTAAATCCATCTCATCATGGTGCATCAAATAGTAATTTTGTTTTTGGAACTTATTTACGTGGGTCTGAAGCAGGAGGAGGAATTTTACATGAATGTGATCATCCAGTGAAACATAAAAGTAGAAAAAACGAAGAACGCAAATCATTCAATGATCAGCATTCTGATAGTTTCAGTGTGGCTGGACCATCTAGATTGTCAGATGGAACTTCTAACAAGTATAAATTCCGAATTAATCTTTGAATTTATTTGTGATATTTCTATTTTCAATACCACTAAATTAATAATTAATGATGAAAATGTCTTAAACAGAGTTATGCAGAATATGGAAAATGACAGTGCCAATGAAGTCAATACTTTATATCCCTCAGTTATGTCGAATGCAATTCATTCTCAACAAAATTCTACGCGTGCAACAAGTAAGATTTTTTTTTTAGATGAATAAAAAATAATTAATAGATAGTCTATATAGTTTAACTTTGTCTATATTGGATAGAAAATGATGATACACCATCAGCACCTGATTTACAATTAGATTGGTCCTCAAGTAGTGATGATGCTACTAGTAGTGACGATGAAGATGGATCAGTTGAAGTTCTTGTCTCAGTAAATCATAATAATAAGGTAAAATAGTGAAGGGCTTGTATAAGAGCTATGGCTATTTACATATGTACACTATTTACAATTGGTGCGAGGATGGAGGAAGGAGATGAAAGGATTGTGGTGATGGGTAAGGTGAGGAAAGGTTATGCGTTTCGTCTCAGAGTCGCTGCCTAGACTCATCAGTGGGGCTGATGGCAGCGACCCCTTACCCCAGACGCTTGTTGTTCTAACTACTCGCTAGGCTGGACGGTCACCCATCCTGTGGTACGCGGTGTTCCGCACTCTGTTTGCTTAACATCGAATATCGTTAGATTTCGACGCTAGGCGCACAGCCACTTGCGGCTTGTGCAAGTCGGTGTTCGAAACTCGTACTCGAGGGACTCTAGGCCGCTACAATAGTTATATTATATTGAATTGTTTAAAAATAGAATTTATGTTAGGAATTTAAAATGTTGAATATTTTGTTATATCTCAGCAGCAAAATTCTGCACAAAATAATGAGGAACGTAATCGTCCAGTAACTGTAGTTGATTTAACTGTGGAATCAGATGAAGAACATACTCCACCTACTCCAACAACTTCTGTAGTAACACCGGGTACAACAGATTATGTACATAGGTACGAGTAACAAATTATTTAATATGTAATAATTATATATTAAATTATAATAATAATTATATTGTATTAAATGGCAGTAATTTTATTGTTAATTTTAATATCTCTTTTTTTTTTTATAGTGGAAATAACACTTATTGCATGCATGACCATTTGTATCATGGTCGATGTATGCATCATAATTATAGAATTCCAATTCCTGTTATACCTGTAAGATATAGCCAATTACCAGGTGAGAATGTGATAAAAAATGAAGACAGATATTAACAATATTTTTGATATATTATTTCGAATTTGTTTCTGTTTTATAGATGCTTCTACTGGAATGTTAAGATCACGTATGCATCCAATACAAGAAAGGCTATGGAGGATGCAACAACGTGTACAAGAAGTACATAGGCGAAGCCTTCATCCAAGATTTTCAACACATCACACGTTAGTATTGCAATAAATACTCGAAGTTTCACATTATGCAATAATTTTTATATTTAATAGTACAACGTCATGCAATCCACATGTTCATCAAGCAAACCAACATACATGTAATAATGGAAATGTTAACCCTGCAAGTAATCGTTGTAACAGTTCAGAAAACATGATATTTGCGGAAAATTATTTCCCATCTCCAATTTTACCACCACCACAACAGCCTACTGTTTATAGTCATCCAGAGGCTAGGAGGCCACCAAGTGTTAGTCCGCCTTGTCCCGCTCAGTCTGTGATGGTAATTCAATGCATTTAAGAGTTACATTGTATTATTTTAGTTTTACTGAATGAATTTATAATTTATCTTCTTTTCGTTTCTTAATGTTTAGGAAAATTCTTTGAGTGGTGTAGAAATGGAACCAACACCACCTCCAGTTATGCTGCCTTCAATGCCAGTTCATCCTTACGTACATCATATGTATCATCATTATGGTTCTCATCGAAGACCGCCCGGTCCACAACATAGACACCATATTCATATTAATTGGCTGCAACATCTTCATTTGGTATATTCTTGAATACAGTGCTTTGAATTCTTATTATAGTTATATAATGCATATATGTTTCATATGCAGCAAGGCTCTGACGCTCACGATATGATGCCGTTTCCATCTTTGGGTTTGTTGCATCCAGCGCGTCAAATGTCGGCGCAACTTGAGAATTATATGCGTCTTGTTGATTTACGACGTATGGCCGCTATTAGTTGCGGAGCTACGCAGGAGTCGATAGAAAGTCACACATTCCGTCATAAGTACAAACGGGTAAGCTACATGAAAATTTATATATATGTTTTATTATTTATTCGCAATATTTTATCATTTTATAGGAAAAAAAAGTTGAAAATAGCGAAGACGCTATTGAAAAGTGTACTATATGTTTATCGGAATTCGAAGACTGTGAAAGTGTCAGGTACAAAGCTAATCACGTACAATACAAATTATTTTCAGCAATTATTTTTACATAAATTATATTTTTCTAATGTTTTTATATAGGAGGCTTCCATGCATGCATTTATTTCACATAGACTGTGTCGATCAATGGTTATGTACTAATAAACGCTGTCCTATATGTCGAGTGGATATCGAAACTTTTTTACACAAGGAGCTTGAAAGCACTACATAGTTTAAGGTCGATTTTAATCATCTGTTTTCGTTTTATATAATCAGGTAATATTCACATCTAAATATTTTAAAAGATCCTATTCATGAGAAAAAACCTTTTTCTGACACTGCTATCAATGTTGATGTAAAAAAATTTTACTGTGAATAATCAAAATATCGATAATGGAATAGAACTAAGTTCCTGGAGTTGTAGAAAAGATTTGTTTTGATTAATTATCTTTATTAATATCCATGGTATTAGTAATAGTGTACATAAAAAAAAAAATATTAGGTTTGTTTATTATGCGTTATTATATTGATAAAATATGTAATTTGATTCATAATTTATCATGTATGTAATGGTTTCGACGACCACAAATTGTTAGATTATAGCAAATATTTGAAGTGATACATCTCTTCGTGTTTTTTATTCTACTTTTTTATTATGTGATAAATAAAAGGAAAAGAAATTTTAATCATTAATAACAACCACTAAAACGATGAATTTTTAAATTAAATTAGAACCGAGACGAATGGAAATTAATTATGTGAAATAATTACGTGAAAACATATTATTCCTGTGTTATTAATAATTCTCCACTGGGTGCTATATTGATATAAATTTTATACACAATAAACATATTCTAATGATTTGTGAAAACGGTTAAAGATTCTTTGAGGCTATGTATACTTTTCGTAAGTTTTTATATTGAAAGAGTTTTTTAATAAAACTATACTCAAATAATTCTTTACTAATAATTTCTTATTCTTCATAAAAGAGGATATCGTTGTATTAAAAAAAAAAAAAAAAAAAGGAAAATACCGGTAATCTTAAAATTTCGTAAAAAAAAAAAAGAAGCTTTCTATTTTGAGCGACTTCATTTTCGCATCATTTTACTGGTATCGTTGGTAACATAAAAAAGGGCATGTATTTTAATTCACCAAATTAAACGGAACGCTCTGTATGATATTCAATAAATTATTATTATTATGTCTAGTGCGTAATAACAATAATTATCATTTTGCATTCGAATGTCGACGCTGTGGCGGCATAATAAAGTTGTCTAAAATCTTTGATGTCGCCATGATGGCGATACGCTTTTATTATGCTTGTACATTTATGATTCTGTAATCGAAAAGTATTGTAAATGTCTGTTACTCTTTAATCTAAAATATATTTACTTCCAGATAATCTGTTGTTTATTGATATCTGCATATTTATTTATATGTACATATGTAATATATAATACATAATAAATTTGCTTTGCTCGAGTATGGCGATTACAAAGGGCCATAATATTCCCAATTGTACATTGTACGCTTAATTCCCGTATCGTTCGTCAACTCAATTTTTATCAGAAATTCTTTATGCCCTGTCGTTTTTTCGAGACGCTTTCTTCATCCAATTTCTTCATCAAACAAACCAATTTTGTAGTATACGCCAGATAATGTTGATTGTAGAAGCGATAAAGGCGCATCGGTGTCGCAGCGTTCTCATTTTTATACAACGTGCAAAGAAAGAGATATAAGAGAGAAGAAAAGGAATTGGCACAGACGTGCGTAAGACCAGACTGTTCCTTGCAAAAAGGCCTTACCTTAAGGAATGAATAATTGTGTGAATCGTGTGAGTCACAGTTGATTGTTTACTTTTCTTTTATTATGATCATATACAAGGCAACATAGCTGCGAGAAAAACTTGCGATGAAAAACGACGATTAGAACAATAACAAGCAACATGCAAAAAAATGTTACGTAAACCTTCTCATCTGAAACATCTTGATATAAAAATAATGAATCGCTGATATGGCAAGTTAATAGATAATCCAATATTAGTATTAGCTCAATGTTAGTTAAAATTTGTTCAAAAATATGGGAACAATTTTCATAGCCAAGTGTCCGATTCATTTTGAAAATATCATATTTCTTCAAACCTTCCGTTTCTTCTTCGTGTCTTTCAGTTTTTGAATCCATAATGACGATTTTCCTGTTGATTCGTCTCCGAGGGAGAGTGCGAAAGAAATTAGCCAAACGTTAATGAGATGGTGATGATTGACACGATGCCCGTTCTGTTCAATGCCACTTGCACTGAATTCTACTTGCACACGGAGAAGAGAGGGAGTATCTCTCGATCGGTGGCTATATAGCCAGCTACAAGACTGATCGTTTCAGTTACGAACTCTTCAAGTCACGATTTGTCCAGCTATTTTTTTTACTCGTTCTCGTTTACGACACCGTGCAAGACTAGCCTGACTTTGTCCGAGTTTTCTGCGATTTTATTACGATGTCATAAATGTCGCCAAACAAGGATCCACGCGGTTGATCCTCGCCTGTTGACGTTTTTAATCAGCTCAAACGAGAATTTTATCGTGAACGTCGACGCGAATACACACACACACACACACATAGCACCATGCATTCGGGAACATAGAGAAGAAAACTCGCGATTTTCTTGCAAAGTGAACCGCAAGATTAACGAGAAGAAAGTGATCTCGTTCCTAATTTGCCTTCGAGTTATAGAATCGATTATAATTCTTATAATTCTCTGGAGGAGAAATGCCACCGCAGGAGAAATTTGAAAATTCCGTGCACTTGAACAATAATCGGGAGAGCAACGTGGCCACTTGTCAGAACTCGAGCAACGCTCAAACGGGAGAAACGGATAGCGGTGTGAAGGAAGAGACGAGAGACATGGATTTTGATGAATTGCTGCCCTATGTCGGCGAGTTTGGTCTTTACCAGAAGATCCTCTTCATTCTGATGATCCCTTTCGCATCGTTTGTGGCGTGGGTCTATTTCTCGCAGATCTTCATCACGCTGATACCGGATGATTATTGGTGTTGGGTACCGGAACTGGAGAACCTCACAGTCAACGAAAGGTGCGCAAAAGTATCTCAGTATCTCTTGGGAAATTGCGTTGAATTAGAAGAGAGAGATTGAAATCTGGAGTTTCTTCGTTTAACCACTTGCATCCTCAGATTTTATCGTTATTTAAGAGCAATTTAAGTCGAGGCTAATCCAGAAAATGTGATGTTCGTTAGATATCGATAATACAAGAAGTTTTAAAGTTATTATATAGATTAATGAAGAGATAGTTTCTTTTATTGGAAATTCATCGAATTGTTTAAAAGTCACGCAATCACACACGATTTGTTATAAGAATTGATTCATTGTTTAGTAGTGTTTGTTCATGTAGATAATTGCTCTTTATCTACTTCAATATTGACTTTGTTTCTCTGGAGAGAAAGAAATTTCTCGTAGAAATGCAAATAGAAGAACTTCTTTGTTTAAGCAAATGTAAATACGATTAAAAAGATACGCTTTCGAGTTGATTCAGTATTTTACTTGAATCTAAGGTAAATATAAGGATAAAATTCGATAGTACCCCTAAAGTTGGATATTCAAGATTATCTTAAAATTTTCTTCGTATCTCGCTCAATGCGCATTTTTAATTTCTTGAGTGGGTATAAATTTTATCAGATAAGAATAGGTGTTTGTTGCAAGTAATTTGTTGCAAATATTCCTGTCAAGATCTAAGCCGACTTATTTTGTTCTATTGTTTGCAACTTACAATTGCGAGACTGAAATGTACGAAACGTTGATTCATTCTGCCATACTTATTACGGTATTTATCTAGCGTGTGTGCAAAATTAGTACTTTTTCAATGACTACACGAAACAACTTGGATAGTATATCGTTATGCTAGAGAAAAGAAAGGTTGGCTTCTTATTCATTTGAAACACTGCAACGTCGTAAAGTCCAACTCTTTTTTGACATAGTCGATCAGATAATTTCAACACTTCAACATAATACAAAAAATTACGCTTCAGACGTATTTCTCTTCACAAGCATTTACACACTTTTCATTGGCAGAAACGGAATAAAGAAAATGTAGAGCAGTTTCTTCTCTTCTTTCCTTTCCTAAATGAACCAAAGAACAATTTCTATATTGTTAAAACAATGTACAAATAAATTCAAAATGGCATCAATGGATAAATAAAGAATAAAAGTGTTAGAATTGAAAAACTTAAAGATTTGAAAAGAATCGCGTATGATCTAGAAATCTGAAACGAGGCTAGTAGAAATGAAAATTCCACAGGCATGATGCTGATGAAAAATGCGATCGGATTGCATTCATTTTCAGACGCAATAAAAAAAAAGAAAAAAATACCGGAGACGAATGATTATTATCGATGTTCGTTACCTGTTTTGTGATTCAAGGATAGATCACCACACGTAAGATTGTCTCCATGAATGCTTTCTACATTAATGCATTAGTCGATTATTGTTATTATCAAGTACATTAACGAAGGCTATTTGTTGCTTTAATAACAGCGAAATTACATTAACAGATCAAAAAGTTGGTGTGTTTGTTAAATTTTGTAAAAACCGATTATAATTGAGGGATATAATTACAGGGATAATTTTAGATAATGGGACTTTTTTTATTCACTACTTCACTATTTTTCCCCATATTCTATTTTCCTTTTATTGTATCTATTTTATTAATTTTTTCCCATAAATCTCACTTGAGGATGAAAATCAGATCTTGTCGCATTTCTTTTAATTGAAATGCCGTTCGTTAGTATCATTTTGAAAAGTAATTAAAGAGTTGCATTTTCTCAGTCATCTGCATATTAGAAAATACTTCAAGTTTGAATAAAATATGAAAACGTTCTCGTCAGTTCTGTTAGTTAAGTTGTTGATTGTTCGGTTAAGTTTTATGTCGAACATCCCAAAACATTATCTTAGCTAAACTGAGCGCAAAATTAAAACATAAAAATTTTACGAAGATCGTACAACAAACTAGTCAAAAATTTTCCCACTCGTTTCAAACTTGAATAAAAATTTAATTCTGAATAAGAGTCGGGCTTCAATTTCCTTAAATCAATCCCCTAATCAACCTAATGAAAGTACCTAATAGAATAAGGACTACATACATACGTGCAAGGAATATCGAACGAAACATAATCTATCGTTATTTTCACGTACACGTAGGTTTCACAATTCGTTCTCCGATTTCAACGGACGTTAATCTTGTTGAAATGCCAAGATTAACGACAATTACATGCTTATTTACAATTGTTCCTCATCGAGACATTTTTACTGAATGTAAAAATCGGGAAATCGAATCGACAAGGAGTTGAAAATGCTCAACGACGAAACGTGCAAGTGTAACGTGGATTGCACCTTCGTTTCGTTGGTTACGGCTCGCCTAGGTTAACAACCCCCGATGTTATTCAAATAATGCAACAGCTGGAGCAGCCGGTAGCAAGTCGTAAAAGTCTTAATAAAACACGTTTCTACGAGTGAACGTATGTTACCGCGAGACATGCACCGCGGCTTTTATTTCTCTACGCCATTTTCACCTGTTCGAAACGATCGGTTGCGTAATAGAAGTCGTTCTTTTATCTGTAATGCACGATAACGAACGGCGAAACTGATTCAATTTGTCCCTGGTTTTGTTAATTTCTGTGTAAGCTTCTGTGAACTGTGTTGGCATCGCATCGTGACGTTCTTGTTAACGCTTTACAGCAGTTTCTTTTTTGTGTGAATTGGCCAAGAGGATTGCGAAGCTCGTTTTGAAGTAAACTCTTGTAGAAAATTCAAAAATCAAAAGTTTCATTTCGATGGAATTTGGAATTTAAGCTTTGGAACTGAGAGATTGGCTTCTTCTTCTTTTTTTTTCTTTTTTGAACCAAGTATAGTTCATTTCCTAGTTGTTAGTATTTTGTATTTGGAACATTTCTTAAATATGTAACTTTTAACTTAAATATGTAGTGGTTTTAGTCCTTTTAGAATTAGTTTTGTAGTTTTTTCGAAACCAATTTTATCTCTTTTATTTCACGCAGGAAGAGATTATTCTTTCATATTCGAATATAATAGTAATTCTTCAAGTTTTAGCTCACTATTCATTTGCATACGAACATAAAACTCTCTCTGATCGATGTTCCTTTTCATAACACTGTTTCAACTATACGAATCTTATTGAAATTGATTTACAAGTTAGGAATCACTATATTTTTCTTAGGAAGAGTGCATAATTAAATAATGAACGACTGAAATATTAAATTAAATATCTATATTTAAAAACATTACAAATGGATAGCATAAATAATCTCAATAACTCCAAGATAAACTTCAGAAAATTCTTCAACTACATTTAATCGACATACCTCTCGAATGAATTCACAATTAATACATACAATTATTACAATTGACGCAAATTTAATATTTTCTCCCGTCTTTATTTTCTACTTATTTTATTACAAACTTATCATTTCATTCACATCGTTTCTTCGCTATTGAAATACGAAAATAAAATAAAATTCCTTGAACATTCCAACGTGTATGGCGTTGCGTTTCCATCTCAATATGTACATACGATAATCATCAAAATCTCTTTTCACTGATGCTTATCTCTCGTAAGAGAGAGGACGCATATTATTATAAACTGCGCTTGCAAGGAACACAATACAACATAAAAGTTGCCAAATTAACCTTCGGTGGTGTTCAAAGTGAGCGGCTAGAAACGATTGCCTTTTCCTTATACTTACAATTGGATGGTTCGATTGCACCATGATTCGTTATTAAGACGTTTCGAGAGAGGCAAAGGATGTTGTGTCGTAACGGTGTTATGCTCGCACAATGCTCCCCGGATAAAATTCCCCGTATTTATCGTGTTCGCCGCGCGAACGCGTTGAACCTTCGCGCAAACAATGAGAGCGTGAACGCGAAAAAATGGCGTTGAGCACGTTGAGCTTGATATCGTTGATTTGCTCGTCGGATACCTTTACGGTAAAGGCATTCGGCCTGCTAGTTATGTTAAAAAAAGAAAAAAAAATCATTCGACGACGGAACTATATTACGATGATACAATTAAAGATGCGACGAGCAAATTTCTAGCCCACAACGAATGAATATGAATCGCGTAATTAATTTTTTGATTTAATTCAACTTTTAACTTTTTGTTCGAGAGCTGCTCGTTAGTTTGCTGCTCGTTAGATCAAACTGCGATGAAGTTACGTCCTAGGTGCCCGTTCTTGATTAAAATTCTCGAAACTTTCTAATGGTAATAGATAAGACATTCATATGTATGTATGTACATGCAGCGAAAGTATTTATACATATCTTTTGAAATTTTATTGGTTGGATGTTACGAGGCCAAACTACTACGTTTTTTTTTTTAAATTTTCCTAGTTATGAAAGCGTAAGATTTTGATTAATAAGCTTATTCTGACAAGTCACATCACATATTTAGGAAAATTCTATTTTCTACGATCGGATGGAAAACTGAACGTGTTCATAAAATTTCTCAAGAATAATAAAATTCATCGGTACGTTAAATTCGACGTTAAGAATCAAAGAATGACGGAGTGAAGAATGAAAAATTCCTCGATAATGTAAGATAAATTGTTAATTGGATGGCACGTGAGTCAATATTTCGATAATAAATCATTATATAAACTAACACCTAGCTTAATGAGATAGTAATGGCAAAGAAAATAAGCATAATAGCAGGAAAAAAAAAATTGATAGAATTGCTAAAAGGCTGGTGATTTCTTCCACTTGGCTGATAAATTACGAGCTGAATCTACGAACGTTTAACAATCATACATTCCGAATCAGTTTCGGATTTATGGACGAACATTCCTTTCTTTCGCAGAAGTCACTTAGTTTGCTCATTTTCACCGTGAAAGATGCAGCTTGCGTAATGCAATCGACTTCTTCGTTCGTTCACTTTTCATACAAAGGTCAGATTAATTATTATCGCGATGTTACGAGATATAATTGCTTGCAAACGCAACGTTAAACATCATAAAATTTTTCTTCCGGTTGTAACGTTTATCGAGAAATATTTAGAATTTTGCAAGTCGATTGCAATTAATTGGTAATTTTCTGGGAAGAAAATTTCGTATTTTGTTAATAACACTAATTTCGATGATTTATATAGCTTTAGTTATGCTATCAACTAAAAAATTTATAAATTGATCGTAGTGGCTCTCAGTATGATTAACAATTAACAATTCTTTTGTAATCGTATATTTCGTCGATATATGTCGATATATTCTAATTAACGTTTAATTATCATGTTACGCCATGATTTCCCAACATCGTCATAAAACAGTGAAGATTCACGAAGATTTCGAAACGCGTTTCGAGGTGTCGCGTTTTATAACGATATAGTGATTGTTCGACAATATTGTCCAAGTAAATAAGGTCAGTTTGATTCAGACAGCGTGACACCGACTTCCTATTTCGTTACACAAAGCCCGTCAAAATACAGGTGTAATTATCGTCACCGAATTATCTTAATGACGCTCGCTGTTATAATAAACAAGCGATTTCGACGTCCGTCAACGATTGTGAATCACTCTCGTAGTTATCGAACGTGATTGGATAACTAATGCAATCTTTCGGTGATAAATTGGATTCGATGTGTGTGTGTATGTGTGTTTCTGTGGAAATTATGTTCGTCGTTTTTCCTTCGATTCTAAAATTCCAATAAGTCGTCAACCACTCGATCATTTGTCGCATACGTTTTAAATTTGGTTCGAAAAATGAAGTGAAAAATGTTTAATTGTACGTATCATGTTTATTAGCGATTTATTGTTAACACTGGAATTACCGACAACTGAGGCATTCGAGTTTACTTGTATATCTAATAAAAAGTTTTATATAAAATTTTCTAAAATTATAAATTCATCATTTTGACCATCGTGTTAACAATCATACTAACTTATTATTAGGTATACAAGTTGTACAACTTTTTTTTTACTTCGTATAAAATTTCAGACAAAAGTGTTTTATCGTGATGAATGAAGCAGTATCGACTTAAAAAAAAATGTTGAAGATTCCCAGTGATTTTTTAAATACATCTGTTCATCGACATTAAAGAACTCTGAATCAGTTTACAGTCTTTCCTCCTTCGTTTCAGACTGTCGCTAGCGATACCAGCCAACCACGAGGGATACTCGAGATGCAGCATGTACGATGTAAATTACAGGGAGATTTTGTTAAATGAAAGCCACATGCCGGACCCGTTGTGGCCAACGAAAGCTTGTCAACACGGATGGGAGTTCAATTATAGTACCGTTCCGTACGCAACTGTGGCAACCGAGGTGAGAGACGGACTGAATCTGTAATTCCCTGTTTCTTGACCATTTTCGGTCTCTTTCAACCAGTATAGTTGTACGTTCTACAATGTACATATATAATTACCAGAAACTTTATTACATATATATATTAATATATATTATATGTATTATTAATAATTATTACATATTAATAATTATTATTATATTAATAATTATAATATGTAATAATAATAATTATAATTATTAAAAATTATTACATATTAATAATTATTATTATGAATATTAACAATTATTACATATTAATAATTATTATTATAAATATTAACAATTATTACATATTAATAATTATTATTATAAATATTAACAATTATAATTATTAAAAATTATTACATATTAATAATAATTATTATATATATTTATTAATTTTTATTATTATATATAATAATTATTATATTATAATTATAATTATAATTATTGATAATTATTACATATTACATATACATTATTAATAATTTCAACTCTGCGAAAATGTTTGAATCCGATTTTCAAAATTTTTGAAATCGACCTTCGTCGCAAACACAATTGTTTTTTTTTTTTTTCTTTGCTTCGTGAACTTCTCCGCCGGGCAAAAGAAAATTTCTCCTCCTCGAGTTTTGCGAGCGGCCGGAACAAACTACATTTTTTATACGCGAGAACTTACACGCCGGATCTTAAGTTTCCCCGGCTGACTGCCAGCGAAAAGGAAGAAAAAGGAAGAAGCTCGGCACGGAAATTCATTTAATCGGGACGTGGACGTTCCTACGAAATTCCTGCGAGTGCTCGTCGTCGCCGAGAGTAAATCACTCGACTGTAGGTTTCTGTTGGCAGCTGGGATGGGTCTGCCAGTACGACGCTCTGCCAACCATAGCTCAAAGTATCTTCTTCGTCGGCGCTATCTTCGGCGGACTGATTTTTGGATGGATTGCCGATCAATACGGCAGGATACCAGCTTTGATCGGAGCTAATTTAATGGGATTTCTCGCTGGAGTGGCCACCGCGTTCACCGACACGTTCTGGCAGTTCACGTTGTGCCGTTTCTTCGTCGGGTTTGCCTTCGACAATTGCTTCACTATGATGTACATATTAGGTAATTATCTTCACCTTCGTTGAGGAGATTCATAGTCTCTTTTAGAAGCTATAGCGAGACGTGTGATCATTGAAAACAGTCGCGAGTCAAAGTTCACAAAAATTCGTATTAGATGAAATTCCTTTACAAATGATAAATCTTTAATTTTAGATTGAAAAAATTCTATCTCCATTTGGAGTAATTAAAGGAGTATTCGACGGGAGAACTATCGTTTCTATTTTCTCTGTAACTCCATAATTGTGTTCTAATTTCATTATAATGTGTGTTTTTTTTTTTTTTTTTTTTTT